AGCATCCTGATGGATACGCACCCCCCTGTCCGGAGGAGAGCCAGGGAGGAGGGACAGCAGAGACACAGCAGCAGAGCCCAGCAGAGAAAGACCCAGGTAAACCAGAAATCTTCAAAAAAGCTACCTCCGCTCCCATTGGGGGGGGCTGGGTGCTGGGCGGGGGGCTTTGCCCAACAAGGCTTTCCTGTGTCTAAACTCTGCCCCTACGATCATCACCCTGATGCTGAGGTTTCTGAGGGTCCCTACTAGCTCTGATTGGCCCACAACTGGAGAGCTTGCTGCTGGCTCTATAAACTGCCAGGGCTCAGACTCAAGGCCTGATGATTTCCCTAGGTACTGAAGCTGAAAGCCACCGGAGCGGGTGAGTACGCAGATACGGGGTCCCGTGGGGAACAGAACCAGGTGCTCTCTGGGCTGGCTGCACATCCCGGCCCCTCCCCAGAGTCAGAGGCTTCTGCTGGAATAATGGCTGGTTCCTGGGACCCAGCTACAGGGTGGTGTGGAGGTGGGGGTGGGAGAACGTGCAATGGAGGGGCCCCGTTTCGGGAGAGTGGGGGTGGGTAGCCCCCTTGTGCATGGGGACACAGCTTGCTACTCCTGTTCCCGTGACTACCAGGGAGAAAGGGGAAAGTGCAGAGATACCAAGTGTCACGGGAGGGGCAGAGAAGCCCTCGCTGAGCAGGAGATAAAGTCCCCCTGGCGGACACCCAAGGCCACGAATTCAGGACAATGTTTAGCTCTCGCTGGGGGCTTTTGACATCACATCTCCCCCCTGCATTATCACAGCTGTAGATTCAATCCTCAGCCCTGTGGATGGGGGGGCTCGTGTGGGGCAGAGACGAGTAGGGGCCAGGATCCAGGCCCAAGGACTCCCAGGGAGAACATCATGGGGAGGGGATAGTGAGATGAGGCTGTGGAGCTCCGGCAGGGATGCGGCTTTTTGTATGAACCTGGTCTCCCCCTGAATATGGGGTCACTAGGAGGTGTGAAGCCCGGCCCCAGTCCCGGCCCTACATGGCCTGTCTGAAAATACAGCGTGGAGCCAGTTACATTCACTGCGGCGGGTTCCTGGTGTCGGAGAACTTTGTGCTGACGGCCGCTCACTGCCAGGGAGAGTAAGTGCCTCTGGGCTGGGATGTGGGGGTGGTGGGATCAGCGGGGGGGAAGGTGCAGGGAGCTCTGGTGCTGGTGTGAGGGGAAGGGAAGGAGTGGCAGGGGGTGGCCAGGCTGGGGGACCAGAGTCCAGGGGTTGGACCTGCTCTTGGGGTTTCAGTGAGTCTCTAGGGGCCTCTGCAACCCACGGCCCAGCCCCAGCGCTGGGTAAATCAATGGGGCTGCGAGCAGGGAGCCCAGCTGGGGTCTGGTCCCTTGCCCAGCATGGGGCAGAGAGGGGTCACAGCCCCAGGGCACCTCTGAAGGGCCTGGAGCTGGGGGGCTGGGCATGGACCCCTGTGTGGATCCAGCTGGGAGAGAAACAAAGATGCAGGGGGACGGAGACCCAGGGGCCATGGGGCAGCAGGGAGGGAAGCTCGGGGCAGCAGCTCAAGGGGCTGGTGCTGAGAGAAGTTGGGATCCCAACCCCACTGGGCAGGGGCTTTGTGCTTCTGCTGCCCCCCAAAGAGAAACACTCCTGGTACATCCTCCCCCCTCCTCAGCCAGCCAGACCCAGGCTCTGCCCAGGCTGCAGCTTACTCAGCCCCCAGTAGGCACAGATCTTCCTCCATGTCAGAGTCTGAGATCTCGGCCTGAGACCCCCAGGCTGCCCTGTGCCCCCCACGTCGCTGTGCAAGAGCGGGAGCCTCGTGTGCTCATCCCCCTCGGCACGTCCCATCCTGCCCCCAACGGCCCATGCGTAGCTCTTCGCTTTACAGTAATATCACCGTCATCCTTGGAGCTCACAATGTCTGGAAATGGGAACCGAGTCAACAACGCATCCGCGTGCGCCGGCAGATCCCCCACCCGCAGTACAACAGCAAGACCTTAAAAAATGACATCATGCTGCTGGAGGTACCACCCCATCCCATCCCCCACCCCAGTGACCTCACACTGCTGCAGGTACCACCCCATCCCATCCCCCACCCCCAGTGACCTCACACTGCTGCAGGTACCACCCCATCCCATCCCCCACCCCCAGTGACCTCACACTGCTGCAGGTACCACCCCATCCCATCCCCCACCCCCAGTGACCTCACACTGCTGCAGGTACCACCCCATCCCATCCCCCACCCCCAGTGACCTCACACTGCTGCAGGTACCACCCCATCCCATCCCCCACCCCCAGTGACCTCACACTGCTGCAGGTACCACCCCATCCCATCCCCCACCCCCAGTGACCTCACACTGCTGCAGGTACCACCCCATCCCATCCCCCACCCCCAGTGACCTCACACTGCTGCAGGTACCACCCCATCCCATCCCCCACCCCCAGTGACCTCACACTGCTGCAGGTACCACCCCATCCCATCCCCCACCCCCAGTGACCTCACACTGCTGCAGGTACCACCCCATCCCATCCCCCACCCCCAGTGACCTCACACTGCTGCAGGTACCACCCCATCCCATCCCCCACCCCCAGTGACCTCACACTGCTGCAGGTACCACCCCATCCCATCCCCCACCCCCAGTGACCTCACACTGCTGCAGGTACCACCCCATCCCATCCCCCACCCCCAGTGACCTCACACTGCTGCAGGTACCACCCCATCCCATCCCCCACCCCCAGTGACCTCACACTGCTGCAGGTACCACCCCATCCCATCCCCCACCCCCAGTGACCTCACACTGCTGCAGGTACCACCCCATCCCATCCCCCACCCCCAGTGACCTCACACTGCTGCAGGTACCACCCCCGTACCTTCTCCCTTCCATAGTGTGTTCTTTATGCAATCTAGAATCAATTGTCTTTGGAAGGTTTTGCTGGGGGTGATGTTCATCCCTTTTCCCATTAGTGTAACCCTGAGATTCATGTTCATCCTTCCTCTGTGACAGCTGGAGAAGCCTGCGAAGCTGAATGGAGACGTGAAAATCATCCCCCTGCCTCGGATGGGTGAATGCGTGAAGCCCGGGATGGTGGGCAGTGTGGCTGGCTGGGGCTGCACTGTTGCTGCTGCCAAGGTGCTGCAGGAGGTGGACGTGGAGGTTGTGGTGGATAACAAGTGCTTGGTGTATGATTACTACGACCGGGCAACCATGCTGTGTGCGGAGCACCCACAGCAATGGGAAGATATTGTACCGGTAAATCTGCTCCTGGCTTGAAGCTCTCAGTGGATTGCCTCTCCAAGGGAGTGTGTGGGGGATCGGGCTGAGACACCCGGATCCTGTCTGCAGCGGGGAAACGACTCACTGAGCCATTTTCCATCGCTGTCCTGGTTTGTTCTGCAGGGCGACTCCGGCGGCCCCCTGGTGTGTGATGGAAAAGCCCAGGGCATCGCTTCCCGTGGGTCACGCCCTGGGAAAATCCCTGGCACGTACACCAGAGTCTCTGCTTTCATCGGTTGGATCCACAAGGAAATGGGTCAGCTGTAGGCCTGATTCCCCCCCAGGGGTCACTGCACAGCCCGGCTCTGCCTCGCTCCTGTGCCCTGGAGAGGGCCAGGTGTCAGGCCTGCTCAGCAGAGGGGCTGAATGCCCCACAGCCCAGCCTCAGTTTCCTCCCCCTTGCAAGCTGCAGTCCCCTCCCCCCACCGCTAGGACACTCAAGATCCAGGTTCAGGGCCGGGTTCTGCCCCTAGGCCAAGGAGCGGCTGGAGCATGTTCGTGAGGAGCCAAACCCTGGGGTGGACCCGATGGGTTGCTGCTTTCCCAAGTGTGAGCCGGGCAAGTGCCGGCTTGTGTGAGATCTTCCCCGTAATGTCCACCTGCACGTCCCTGCTGGAACCGCCCCCGGCCCTGCCCTCTCTGGGCCTTCCCTCCATGCTGGGCCCTGGAGCATCCACCGCTCACTCCAAACACACCCGGATACAACCAGTCCAGCGGGAGAGAACTCTGGGACATCTGTGCTGACCTGCTGCCAATCAAACATCAGCCCTGGTCCTCCCCTGCCCCAGTCTCCTGCTTCTCTGCATTTCGCTTGGCTCCCCTGCTCTGCTGCCTGCTCCACAGCCAGCCAGTAATAAAGGCAATTTGCAAAACATTCATGTATTGATGCATCCGGTTTTGCCCACCAGAGCAGCGGCTGGACCTGCCCAGGCCAAGAGGGGACGGACTTTACAGAGAGACCGGGCTGGTGGTTAATGCTCTTGGCTGGGTGCCAAGATGCCTGAGTTCAGTGATGTCATGCACAGTGAGGATCTGGGGGTGTGGGTGGGACCTGCACCCCTCAAGAGGGGAGATTTCCCCGTGGGCTTGGACATGCAAAGGTCACCTATGGGAGAAAACTGACTTCTGAGGCCACTGCTTCTTGGAAATTGGGGACGGGTTTGAAGCAGTTCTAGTTGCAATCAGATCTAATCTTCCTATTCCCACCCACCCGTGCATTTATCCATCCCCATACCTCTCTCCACCCTCTCTCACAAGGGATGTTTCTCGGTGGTCTTGCAGGCTGTGACAGACCACCACGGCCCGTTCATAGACATCTCACTGGGGTGGTGGGGGAAGGCGTGTGACTCAGGTGTGATCTGTAACTCGTGCGTGTTCCAGAAGCTGCACCTTTCTTACCTGACCACACCACCAGGGTGGGGTCCATAGACATGCCCATCTGCCTGGTGGAGGAAGCAGCCCGTCTCCTACAGCTGCCACCTCAACCACTGTGGAGCCATGTTCAATGCCAGGCTGAGATGGGCCACTTGAAGGGGCGGTTCAGATCCCGCCTCACCTGCCTGGAGCTCAGGGAGCACAACCTCCCATGTCTGCTGGCTGTGTGCTGTGTCCTGCACAACACGTGTGAAGGGAAGGGGAGGCCTTCTAGCCTGGATTAGGAATGGAGGCTGATCACACAACTGCCATCCAGCAGGCCGATCAGGGAGCCGTGAGCATCCAGGATGCCGTAACGGAGAGCTTCCCTCTGGGTGATCAGTGACACTCTCCCATAGGCATCCACTCTGGGGGCTTCTACTTCACCCCTCACTGCCCCCCTTTTCTGATGAAAAAAGAAAGCGGACTAAAATAGTCTACTGTGGGGATCAAGGAAACTGGGGCGAGGTGAGGAAAGAACCGGGGAGAGGGGAGGGGCGAGGGTGGAAGAAGGAGGGTGCTGAGAACCTTGCAGGGGGGACGAAGGAGCTGGAAGGGAGAGAAAGGGGGAGGAGAGACTCAGGGTTGGGTCTGGGAGTGTCGCCGGGCTCTGTGGATCCCACCAGCATGACTCCAGGGGCCTCGGCGGGATGGGGAGGGTGGGGAGGGAGAAGCGGGAGAGGGAATGGGAGGAGGAGCAGCACGCTCTGCACAAGGGAGGGGAGATCAGTGCACAGGGAGGGGCCCTGCACAAGCAGCTCCCCCCAGCTCTCCCACCGCAGCCGGAGCTCCTCCTGGACCCAGCCCTGCAGGGTTTGGTGCAGCGCTCAGAGAACCGCCAGGTGCTGTCGCTGGGACTCGGCCATGGAGGTTAAGTCCATTGATGCTTATCAGCCAGGCTGGGTAAGGAATGGGGTGGAGATGGATGGCAGGAGAGAGGTCACTGGATGATTCCCTGCTCTGTTCACTCCCTCTGGGGCAACTGGCATTCATGTGTCAGAAGCCCCCTGAGAGGGACCCGTCTGACCTTCCAGCCTGTCTCCTTGGACATCCCAAAGTCACAACCCCCCAGTGACTCCTGCCTCCACCACGGCCCCCGGTCACCTAGTCCTTTGGCTCCATGTTCAATCTCTTCAACTTAGTCCCAGATGGGCTATTGCTGATTTTAGCTTCTGGCTCTTGGGTCTCGTCCTGCCTTAGCCCATGAGGGTGAAGAGCCACCTGCCCTCAGAAACTCCCTCCCCCTGGAGGTCCCTACAGGTCGGTGCTGAGTCTCGGTTTTGTCCATCTCGGGAGTTGACCTTCTCCAA